TAGTATTTTTCCACCCGAGACTTTAGGATCTCACATGAGCTCACCTTAGACACACTGCAGGAAAGCAGAGTGCTTGACGGAAAAGGTTCAGACAGTGTTGACTGTCCAACAGAAACACAGTGTCACATGTGTAATTTTGAATGTTCTACTAGTTATGTTAAAAAAAAAAAAAGAAAAAGAAGCAGGTTAAGTTAATCTCAATAAGGTATTTTTATTTGGCTGAAGATATCTAAAATATTATTGTTTTAACAAGTGGCAGTAACCACTTCAGCTGCTCAATAGCCACATTTACCTGCTATATGGGAGAGGACAGATTCAGAGTCAAGTGGACCTGGATTTGCCTTCTGGCTTTGATATTTTCTTGCTATTTACTTAGTAAACCTCATTTTCATTGTATTAAAAATAACTATCTCCAAATATTGTTATGAGAATTAAGTAAAAATGGCATACACAAAGTACTTAGCACAATGCCTGATACATAGAGGTACTCATGAAATGAGAAATTCCCCACCCTAACCTTCTTACTCTAGAAGTGAACATGGGCTCCGTGTAGTACCATTCGCGATCTAGCCTGAGTTCCTTCTCTTCTATCTCTACTACAAATTTTAGCCTTTCTCCACCTAGATCTTCCTCCTGGCTTCCTAGCAGCAGTAAACGTGAGTGTGTGGACTTCCAGAAGCCATGGAGTCTCAGTCATTACCCAACTATGTGGTCCTAAGGAACCAATATGACTTACATGCCTGAAAGTTTCCTTGTCTGGCTGTCTAACCCACCTCCCCAGCTCTTATCACTGACACAGCTTCCCCAGCAACTGCCATCGACACAGTGCTTCTCCTGTGGAATATATGCTTATCTCAACGTTTCTAAAGGTACAGATTTCCCTACAAAATAACTGGCAAGATCCTTCCAAAGTGTCAAGTTCAAAAAAAAAAGAACAAATGAGGCAAATTAGGAACTATCGGATTCAAGGAGACTAGAGGTACATAAAAAATAAAAATGAAATATGGGATCCTGCATAGGATCTTGGCATAGAAAAAGGAGAAGATGGGTGAAACTCATATAAGGTGTGCAAACTAGTTAACAGTATTGTGTCAATGTCAACTTCCTCATCTCAATAATTGTACCATGGTAGTGTACAATGTTAATTTAAGGGAGTATAAGATGAATAGTCTGAGGATCTAATGTGTAACATGGAGACATACTATACATAATGTATAACTATATAACTGAACATACTGTATAACTGAAATTTGCTTAGAAAGTAGAACTTAAATCTTCTCACACACACACAAAAAAAGAAAATATGTAAGTTAACAATGTGTTAATTAATTCAGTGGGGGGAAAATCCTATCACAGTGTGTGTGTGTGTGTGTGTGTGTGTGTGTGTGTGTGTGAAATCATCCCACTGTACACTTAAAACACCAGAACTTTATTTGTCAATTATACCATCAATAAAGCTAAAAAAAAAAAAAGTTATATGGGAACTCTCTATACTACTTTTACAACCTTTCTTGAAGTCTACTATCATTTCAAAATAAAAAGTTAAAACACTTTTAAATATGATTATTTGAAACTTTATTATGAAAGAACCTCTGTCCTAATGGAATTGTTCATTGATAGATCACTGTAAATATGCTACTTATGTTAAGCCTATTGCAGAAGGCCATCACACAGGTTAACGAAAAGTCAATTCCAAGGAATAGAAAATCCTCCTTAATCACCACTATTAGTTTGCAAATCCACTAAGAGAGTATGATGTCACCTACATACACTCAGCAATACTCAGGACTTGATGACAGGAAATAATGTTTTATGTCACAAGTAATGTTATTAAATAAATATACCTTTTGATTTAACATTACTGAATGGCATGCTTAAACATTAGCTCCACTGAAACCAACTTTTCACAGAAAGAAAGTGACAGGAAAAGGTAAGGAAGAGATGCAGAGAAGCATCTTCTAGTATGTACCCCTTAGATCTTCCACGCTGGGAACAGCCTTGGTCAGTGAGCTCTGAACAAAACCCCTTGCAATAGAAAAGAAAAGTCTGCTCTGCTACAGCATGTGTTTCTGTAACGTAAATGAGCTTATAGGCCATAAGAAAGGGTTTCGGTGTAAAGCAGAAACTGCATTGGTTCATATGTAATCTTTTCCCAGATCATTAATGAGCTGCTTCGTTAATAATAGCAACTGAAGGCTAAGCATTCTAATGGCAGTAAGCCAGGAATTATATTCAGTTCTTTTCGTAGAAATTATTATTGCAAGGTTAACCCTGATCTTTGTTTCAAAAATATAAATTAGTAAATACATACATAAATACGTAAACAAAGTAAGTCAGTTAGTCAGTAGGTAAGTAAGTAAGGTAAGGTAACACTGAACAAGGAACAGAAAATATATCTCTGGTATCAGTACACTCTATACAGAGCTTGCAAGCTTTTCTCTACTTGTAACTTCTGATGAAAATGTCCCTCTGCCCTTGTACCCTTCCATCAAGTCGTCTTCACCCTTTTGGTTTTAAATAAATCCTACATTTACTTCAGTGTTTATTTATTAAAAATGTCATGTCTTTTAAACAGTGCTAGCACTTTTACTGAATTGTTATTGTTTTCATTAGTGCTCTCGTTGCAAAGCTGCGTAAGCCCTACTACTTTATGAATTTGCAGCTGCAGTTTTCCAGAAATGCATATATAATATTATCATTAAAATGCTGTATTTCCACATACACTAAATATATAAAATGCTGTCCCAAGATTCTTTAAAATATAAATTATCATACTACCTTGTTTCCAAAGATTATTTATATATCAGTGAAATGTGTTATATCAATTTGTAAACAAAATGACAAACTACATTTTATATTTAGCCCTAATTCAAATTTAGTCACCCATTTCTTATGAGTCACATACTTTTCAAATAGATAAAATGTTTCGATGTAGTAATGATAAGTAACATCTGAGTTAAAACCAGACTGACACATTTTATAAGAAAAGCAAATATCCAGTGTTGACATCAATTAAATATATATTAATGAACATAAATCAAACAAACATCAATCTTTCCAAATGAAGCAGTCTAGAAAATGTATACAAATATAAGGACATTTAGAAAGCATTTTTGCTCACAAAATTAAAAGGAAACTTTAAATAATGTATTTTATATAGTATTACATCATGCTAAAAAGAATTCAGCAAAAGACTTTTTGTTTCTTTCTCAAGAAAAAATAACAATCATTGCTTAATGATTATTTGTTGTTAAATAAATAATACCAATCACTAAGCATTCTTTCACACAAATGGCTTCTGCTAGCAATAAGCATTATGAAAAAAATTTACGTTACTTGTACATGACAGAGATACAGCACATAATTAACTCATTAAAAATACAGTTCAACCAAAGTAACTATAATTTATTATATCAATCCCAATTCAAATATATTATTTTAAAATTAATTTATATAATAAATATCAATTAGTTGCATATTTACATAAGAGAATAGTATTCTCTTTTTCACATAGTCCACAATATGCTAGCATACTTTTTTGGTCTCATGCAACTCTGAATTTCAAGGAGCCTTTTTTTTTTCCAATTACCTACTCAAATTTACTTGCTTAGAGATAGTCAGCATGTTTCTCACGGAAAAAAAAAAAACTGCACAATTGTCTGCTTATAGTGTGACCTCTTTCACTTGGGTGGGTATCCTCTCCATCACCGACTAAGTGAGAATGTAACCTTGTCAAACCAAAGGCAAAAGAATAATGAGCACACAACAGGCTAACCCAGCATGGAAAAGGTTGTTAAGGAGGTTGCAGAAAAAGTACCCTGAATGACAAAATAAAAGTATAGTCCAAAGAGCAGGTTAATATTAAAGAAAACTCTCAAGAACATGAGAAGCATTGAATCCCCATCCTTGGACGTCTGCCACATAAAAACTCTGCCTGAATGTATTTATTTTATTAGTGACTAACCAGATTTAGTTAATATGTTTCCATATGAATCCTGGTGAAACAGGCTTGAAGGAGACACATTTACGAAACATCTATTTCCACTAACCTCTAGCCAAAGGTGAAGTATGAACAAGTAGATCACGTTTCGCTCTTACCACACAATTATAAATTCTCATCCAACAAAAAACAATTATTCCAATTTAAGAACTAGAAATATAAATTGGAAGTCTTCACCAAATGCCAAGATATTACTATCATTAAAATAAATGACAATATCTGCTACATTAATTGCTACTCCAGTGCACTGACTACCATAACAGAGAATCATATTAAAACATTTGTGTAAGTAGCTGAAAAGAGAAGCAGGCAAGTTCTGAGTCTTCTCAGTGTGAATTTACTTTAAAAAAAAAACAACAACAAATCTCAAATCTAAACCAACCAAGCACGTACTGGGACTATGTATTATATCACTGTGTCAGTTATACACACTTTGACATTCTTTTTCTACATTAAGATGGAATGAAATTTTTGTTCCTGACCAGTCATAATACTTTAGCAGAGAAACAGTGCCACCTTTTGGTCCTAAACAAAAGCCTCCAGTCTCCTAATCTTCCAAATTGTCTTATTTCCATTCAATTACTGACCTATAAAAATGTCACTGAATTTCATGTCACAGTTATCATCTTCCAGAAATATTGTGTACCCACACAAACTAATAAAGATAAGAGTAATAAAAAAGTTGCTTCCAAGACGCAAAATTTCAAAATACTCCAACTGACCCCAAATATAAGTACTCTAGATCAACAATATAATTTCTTACCAACATTTCATTAAAGATATTTTCCCAAATTCACGTGTGTCAATCAACTGATATATTTAGATATAAAAGAAAAATCCTTTTATAAAGGATTGTTTCATTTCAAAAATGATTTTTAAAAATATATTACATTTAAAATGTACCTATTAATTTAATAATTGGCAATGATACAGCAAATTACCAGGTAAATAAGACAATCATAAATAATTTTATATACAAATATGTTTCTGATTTACTTACACCAATGACACAATGTCACCACGTTGTACTTCAAAATTCCTCACTTTCCAGTGGTTCAAGAGTACCACATCAGATGACTGGCTCCCCCCAGGATTCAAAGAAGGCTAAAAAATAAGGAGAAAGAGACACATCTATCATTTGTATTTTTCAATCTTCATGGTTCCTTGCACTTCATAGCTCTAGTGCCGTGCAATAAAACATTTCTAATATAGTAGCTTTCAATAAATTGCTGTTCTAAAGTAACTGCCAATGATGAGTTCTCAAAAAGACTCATCAGTATTCTTCACAGGTGAACCTGGGGGGGAAATACATTACCAATACTTATTTGAAAGGAAAATGTGCTAGATATTCAAATCTTTACTAAGCTCCGGTAAAGAAGTATGAAAAGCTTTAAAAAGGATTTAAAAAAAAAATGAGGAAGAAGTGAATCAAACCTCCCAACAGAATATTCAGATGGGATCTAATTCCACAGTAGTGCACATCACTGTTACATTTGTGGAAAAGAAATTATTTCCAATCAACCAGGAAAACACCCACATGAAGAAAAGAAGGGAGCAGAAGAAACAGGGAATGGGACAATCATGGAAGATGTGGGAATTTCCCACTCTGATCTCTCCTTTCTAAACACAACAAGGAGTAAGGGTCCTGGTCCCAGTTTAAACCTAATAAGTGACCTTCATCCTAGGATTCAGATGAGTCGAGATGTGCCTGAGGATTGATAGGGCAAAAATCGAGACACATTTTGTAAGGAATTCATCTGAAGGTCAGGAAACGCCGAGGCATAAAAATTTGATTGAGGAACCATGAAGCCAGCAGGCCTGTCACTTGGACAGGGGTGCCAAAAAAGCCAGTGGATAACAAGTCTGAAACCTGAGGTGGGAATAGTGAAAATGAGAAAAGAAAAAGAAAAACTAGGCGAGCTTTCTCACCATAGACTCTCCAGGGTCTCTGAGGACGCCATGAGGGGAAACTGCAGTTTCTGTGCTGGTGGGCAAGGGGCCAAACAAACCAGAGCCGAGCCTCTCCGCTTTCACTGACAGCGGCAGCAAGAGGAGATGGAGCCACAGCATCCTCGGCCAGAGGCAGGAAGACCATGGATGCCAGACCACAGCCAGCTGCCAGAGCAGTTAGCAATTACGCTCTTTTTCAACGATTCCTGAATTTGTAGATTTCTACAAAGCAGATGTGGGCAAAGCTGTGAGGGCAATTATCATGATCTTATTTTGGACTACCCAGGTTTTTTTTTTTGTGGCCAAAATATATTGGTTATTTTTGAAGATCTCAAACACTCCCACAGCTTCTACCAACTCCTTTGTGTGATAATGCCTAAATATCTCTATCTTTAGTTTTGAATTCCGGCTACTCATTTCATTGGACTACCTTACGTAAAGCTCAACATGATTAAATGGATTTTGTCATGATTTCTTAGCAAAAAAGTTTTCCTTCCTTATTTTCTTACATCTTATTTACCTTTCTCCAGTCAACCAGCTTAAAATCTTAGTTATCTTTTTACTTCTTATCTAACCAGTCGTCAAGCTAAGGAGGTTTTTTTATCTTCCTTCACAATATCTTTCATTTATGGTCCATCTTTTCTCTTTCCTCTCCGATCATCATACTTCAGGCACCAATGATCATGTAACTCACCATGTAACTATCCTAATCAGTCTTTCACCTCCAAGTCAGAAAAGAATAATTCCATTTCTTTCTAGCTAAATGATCGTGAGCAACTTACTTAACTTTATTATGCTTCAATTTCCTTACTAGTAAAGTGATGATAATTAGTAACTTACCTAATTAGTAATAATACACAATAATAGCCATTACTCCACCGAGTGCTTATCACGTACACTGTTCTATTAATAAGAGCCAGACATACTGAATGCAAGGCACTGTTCTAAGAGCTTACAAATTTTAACTTACTTGGTGAAATGATTCACTCAAAGATTATAGAACAGTTCTTGACCCATAGTCAAGCTCTTAGTAATCCCTATTACTGGTAATACTACATCACAAAATTTTTTTTTAATTTTTTTATAATGTTTTTTATTTGTTTCTGAGAGAGAGAGACAGCATGAGCAGGGGAGGGTCAGAGAGAGAGGGACACACAGAATCTGAAACAGGCTCCAGGCTCTGAGGTAGCTGTCAGCACAGAGCCCGATGCAGGGCTCAAACCCACAAACCATGAGCATGACCTGAGCTGAAGTTGGACACTTAACCGACTGAGCCACCCAGGTGCCCCTACATCACAAAATTTTAATGATAGATAGTTTTGTATCCTTTCCCAGGTTCGTCCTCTGGTTCTACCCATAATAAGGAACAGAGCTGATATAGTAGGATGAATCCAAGGGGCTTTTTTGGGCCATGTGCTAGGGAATGCTTTTGCTATCACACAGTTAGATTAAAAATTCAGCTTTTCTGGGGCACCTGGGTGGCTCAGTCAGTTGACCTCCCAGCTCTTGATTTCGCCTCAGGTCATGATCTCAGGGTTTGTGAGCTCAAGCCTTGCATTGGGCTCTGTGCTATCAGCACAGATTGGGATTCTTGGGATTCTCTCTCTCTCTCTCTCTCTCTTTCTGTCTCCCCCAAACCCCCGCTCATGCATGATGTTCACTCTCTCAAAAATAAATAAATGAACTTAAAAAAAAGTCATCTTCCATAGGAGTTCATTCTCTCTCCTTCATATTTTGTCTTTGAGTTTAGTATCCTGCAAGTCTCTTTCCCTTATTTCTTTGTATTCTTCCTCCTATACAACTGATGTAATAAAGGTGGCCTAGGGTCACACCATTTGAACCACAAAGAAAAAAACCTCCTTCCCACTGCATTTTCACCAAGTTTGTTTCTTTTTCTTACCATCAAATTAGTGAAGAACAAAGGTGATTTAGTAATTTCTAACTGCTCTTCCTCAGTCCCTTTTATTGGTGTTTTTCAAAAGTTTGTGACCACTGTTCATAATGAGAAATGTGTTTTAGACACATGAACAAATATATACTTCTGAACAAAATTCACCAAAATAGTAATTACCTTTACTACATATACTCTGATATTTTTTATTCTCTCCTAATCTGTTTTTAAAATTCTATCTGTAACAAACCATATTAAGTTCACATCCACAACCTTGATTTTACAACCTACTAATAAATTACCATCCACAGCACAAAAATCATAGCTTTAGACAATTCTTCTTCAACCATTATGCCATGAAGTTTGCATTTTTCCAGAATTCTACTTTTAGCTCATTCATTACTGTTTTTAAATTTTCCTTGAAAAATCTAATCAATATTCTCAGTTGCAAATATCACCCATATACCAATGACTCCTAAATGCATAGTCATAAATCACTTCTTTCTCTGTACTCAATTCATAGTGCTTCACACTACAACACTTAACATATTGTCATTTTTGTTTACCTGACTCTACAACAAAGTAGGAAGTACTTTTTACCCTCAGTTAGATTTATGCTCCAACACCAACTACTTTTCTATGATTCTAGCACAGGAGATTCTAAGTGATTGCTGGGAATCTCATCTGATCAAGTCATTCTTCTACTTTAAATCCTTCACTAACTTCCCAACACTACCAACATGACTGGCTTCAAGATCAAAATCAAGACACACATGATCTGCAGGACCCATTCAATCCCCACCTGTGTAGTTCTCACAGATTAAATTAAACCATAAGGAGGTTATTCACTGACACTTTCAAGGCATCATATAAGTAAATATTTCTGCCCCCAATGTTGCCCCCTCTTTTCACTTTCTGCCATCTGGTTAATTCATACTAAAAATAATATTTGAGTCTCATGAGGCAATCTCACAGGGATTCTTTCCTAATAATCCTCATTTCTCCTTCTCCCCTTTTCCATCTTCAGTCTCCATCAGGTATTCAAAACTTTCAAGTTCCTCATCACAACCTGTGATCATATCTATCACAGTGTATTTAAATGTGGTTTGTAACTACTGACTTGTCTCTCTTCCCAAACGTCTATAAAGCATTTTAAGAATAGAAGTCCCCTATGACCCAGCAATAGCACTGCTAGGAATTTACCCAAGGGATACAGAAATGCTGAGGCATAGGAGCACATGGACCCCAATGTTCATAGCAGCACTCTCCACAATAGCTAAAACATCGAAAGAGCCTAAGTGTCCATCAACAGATGAATGGATCAAGAAGATGTGGTTTATCTATACCATGGAATACTACATGGCAATGAGAAACCATGAAATCTGGCCATGTGTAGCAACATGGATGGACCTTGAGGGTGTTATGCTGAGCGAAATAAGTCAGGCAGAGAAGGACAAATATCATATGTGTGCACGTATAGGAGGATTAGGAGGAACTTGACAGAGAACAAGGGGGAGAAGAAGGGGGGAAATGGTGGGGGAAAAGGAGAGAGACAAACCATGAGAGACTCTTGAATGCTGACAAAAACTGAGGACTGATGGATGTGGGGGGGAGGAGGGATGGGCATGGAGGAGGACACTTATGGGGATGAGCACTGAGTGTTATGTGGAAACTAATTTGACAATAAACTATTTGTAAAAAAAAAAAAAAAAGAATATGTTGTTTCTTATGTCTGTGTTCTTAATAGCCAGGCACATAAGGTGATTAATAATTTTCAGTGGAAAAAATAAAAAATATCAATTAATTAAATTCCTAAAAACTTCCCCCAAGTTAACATGCCCAGAAGAGAGATCATATTCCGCTTCAGCTCCCAGTTATACTTCTGCATTCCCCTCTTTAGTTAACAGTATCACCATTCACCCTGTTCCCCACACTAAAATACTGTTGAGTCAACCTCAATTTCATACTTTCCTTTGGGTCTCCCATCATCTGATTGTCCTTCTGCGCAGAATACCTTTACCCTACTTGGAAAATTCTACTGATCTCTCAAAGCACAGCTTGGATGGTGACTTTTCTCGGTGATATCTTTTAAAAAAACAAACCTGGGGGCACCTGGGTGGCTCAGTCAGTTAAGCATCTGACTTTGGCTCAGGTCGTGATCTCACGGTCCGTGGGTTTGAACCCCATGTCAGGCTCTGTGCTGACGGCTAGCTCAAAGCCTGGAGCCTGTTTTAGATTCTGTGTCTCCCTCTGTCTCTGATCCCTCCCCTGTTCATGCTGTCTCTCTCTCTCACTCTCAGAAATAAATAAAACATTAAAAATTAAAAAAAAAAAAAAAAACCTGAAGTTTCCTTGTAGAAGTCAGGAAATTTACAACCTGGTGCTCCAAGGCCAAGGACAAAAGAATCCCCATTGACTCAAATCTTGACACTTGGTTTCATCTTTCCCTCAGAGAATCACTCATCAACCAGCTTTTCCAACTCCAATTGTTAGAACCAAATGTAATGAGTTATAAACAAAGATTTATGCAGGGGGGAAAATCCCAGAAGGAAACATGTCTAATTTCAAACAGTAAAATATTAGAATCATCAGTCAACACCTGGAAGACCCTATCTGATTTTATAAAGGAAACAATAGAATTTACTTTTATCTTTCCTCCCCTCTACAAGCTTAAGTTTAATCTTGCTCCCTTAACTATTTAGGTTACCGTTAATGATAGTTCTTAAAACCCGGTTATAGGTATCTGCCTACACATGACTCTTGCACTCAACTGTAAGCTTTTCAATTGTAGAAATCAGGTATCACACCCATGTTCGTATGCCCAAAAGAAGGGCTGGAAAATAGTATTTCTATATTTTAAAGTTTAAAAGATTTTTTAAAAATTAAAACATATTTAAATAAGATGGCTCCTAAGTAATGTATATTATCTAAACAATGTATATATTTCTTTCAATGAAAACATATTCTAGATAAGTATGGTAAGAAATCTTTTGCGTCTCAAGTTAGGCAATTTAAGCATTGAGTAAAGTTGAACACTGCTTTGTTATTATCCATAATGAAATAATGTTAACATAATATTCATTATGTGAAATAGAATAAAACAGAATAAAATTTTCACCACAGAATAAAATTATTTCTTTACTGATCATTTATAAATATGAATAACCACTTATCATAAAGAAAAATTTTCTTAAATGACAAACTGTTCTACAGTACAGCACTATAACAACCATAACTCTTTGTACTTCAATTTAAAAATTTATTAAAAAGAAAA